AGCTGTGACCATTTCAGTGGGAAGCGAAGTAATTATTTACGTTAAAGGCCCAGGAAGATGAAGGGGGTTCACCCCAGGTCACTTAGATACGTAAACGATAGAACCAGGGGCTCAGGCTGGTCTTCTTGATTCCAAACCAATGACCACCTCCCAGTTCTAAGTGGTCACCTTGTTTCTGACGTGCTGTGTGCCTCGTGGTGCCTGGCACAGGGGAGCGAAGGTCCTCTCCGGTCTAACACTGTGACTGCAGGACCAACACCACCTCAAGCCCCAGGTGTGCGAACAGCACAAACGGGCAAGACCTCCAAGCCACGAGGGTGGGCCACAAGCACCCAGAGCAGCCATTGCCTGGGTGCCGTCCACACAGGCAGTCCCCCTGGACACCGCGCCATCAGTGCCAGAGCGGCTTAGTGAGCGCACTGGCTGGGAGCTGGTTTGTCTTCAGGCTGGCCCATCTCCAGTCACAAGAGAACCTAGGTTCTCATGGGCAAATGGCAGTCAGAGTCAAAGACAGGGGCAAGGACCAGACTGAGACTGCCTCCACGGAGGAGGGGTGAGAGGCGGGGGCAGCATGAGGAGGAGAACTGAGACGGGTGAGCACCCCATGGTCATCCCAGGTGGCCAGCAACCCGCCTTTTGGCGAGAGGTCCGTATAGGACGGGAAAGGACAGGTAGCCAGGCCCCCCCCGCCCTATCAGAAAGAGAGCAGGAGAGACTCAAACCGAAAAGCCCAAGAATTAAAGGGGAATTTCCTCGGCCTCGCGGGTGAAAGAATGCTACCCGAGCCGCTGTGGTGGGCCAGCTGTTTGACAGCAAACGCTTCACGGGTCGCTGTGCTCTGCACCGTTAGGCCTGCCCCGGTGTGGCTCCCAGTAAAGTTGCTCTGGAACATTCCCACCTGCCTCTGCTGAATACCAACCCGGTGGACCACGGTCATAAGAAGAGAGGAATTTGTATTTCTCATACGTGGGCCAGAATGTTCCGTGGGAGGGATAGTGGGGATCGATGTGGCCGTGGCCACAGGGCCAGGGAGAAGCTGGCAGGAGAGCAAAGGAAGCTGAGGAAATGAGCAGTGAAAGGTTTCCGCTGTGCTTTCCCCATCGAGAGAGAATACCGCGGCTCTTTGCTCGCGCCCTGGAGGTGCTGTGCTGGGGAGCGAGGCTGCAGGCTCCGGCCGCTGGGCCAGGTGCGTGTCCATGCTGGCTGCACACACTCTAACCTCGGGCGCTCCATCCACAGCAGCCGGCATGCTCTAATGCCAACTACAGCCGAGGTCACCGCTCTGTCCTCTCAGCCAGGTGCATTTCATGACAAGGAATTGAGTTTTATAGAGAAAAAACTGTAGGAAAGAGAGCCAGTGTCCTCACTGAGCTTCCTTCGGGGCAGTCTGTGCCAGCCCAGGGGCTGAGACAACCTTCAGCGTCTGCCCCTCAGGCATGTCCCACACCACCTCCGTGCCCAGCGGCCCTGCCACCCGAGTGTGCGATGGAAGGCATGGCCCCAGGCTAGCAGTTTGCAGCCTGCTTGGGACCCAGATGTCATACATGAAAAGGCACCGGGGTCACATCAAGACACGTGGCAAATTTTTCCCTAATCTGAGCTTTAGCGAAAAATGGCAGTGGCTGCCCTGCAGCAGGTCCCATCTGCTTGGGCCGCCATCACAAAGGACCGCAGACGGGGTGACTTCAAAGACAGAAATTTGTTTTCTCGCAATTCTAGGAGCTCCAAGTCCAAGGTCACGGTGTCCACCTGGTTTTCAGGTGGCCATCTTCCCGCCCTCTCCTCACAGGGTCTTCCCTCTCTCAGTGTCTGCTTCCTAATGTCCCATGGGGTCAGGGCTCCACCCTAACAGCCCCATTTTACTTAATTACCTCTTTAGCGACCTAGGTCCAAATAGAGTCACATTCTGAGGTGCTGGAGTTAGGCCTTCAACGTGTGGATTGGGGGGGAGGGCACAATTCAGCTCAGAACAAAGGGAGTTCGTTTAGAGGAGGAACCGTCACACCAGAGGGGTCACGGAGCTCTGCCCAGAGGCTGCCGGGCCGCCTGCAGGTGTGTGGACTGTGGACCAGCTCTCGGGAGAGGAAGAAATTGCATGAACCAGGGTGGCGTGAAGGGGCTTTCCTGGAGCGGGGGCGGGGGTTGAGCCAGCAGGAAGGAAAGAGTTACGGGCAGAGTGGGGAGAAGGGGAAGGCGTTCCCGGTGGAAGGAAGAGCATGGAAGATGGCTCCGAGGATTTGACGAGACCAACCTCGAAGGCTGGAGCGTGTGGTGGGAGAGGAGGAGAGAAGGCTGGAGAGGCAGGCTGAGAGCAGAGTGCAGGGGCTGGGCCGCAGGCAGACTTTCTCTCGTGGAAGACTTTTCAACAGGGCACGGAAGTAATAGCAATAAGAAGATTTGTGTATAGCCCTTGCAATTAGGAGTTTTTATAAATATTATCACTGACATTTAACAAAATGAGCAGGTCATCCTTCTAACCATTCTGTGAATGGGACGATGGAGATGGAGAAAGCTGAAAATCGCTTGGCCAGCAGATATGGGGGCTAAATCAGAACTGCTCTGGGCAGATGCCTTGGAGAGCAACGAGGTGGGACCAGGGAGCTATCAGAGATGAGATCAGGAGTGGAGTGGTCAAAGCCTGAATTAAGGGAGAGGTACTAGAACTGGAAAAGTTTAAACAGACGTGCTGGGTCGGTTTTGATTAATAAACCCACTAAAAATAAAACTGCTCTGAAATCAGCAAACCTCCTGCTGGCCAGGGGAGCACATTGGCTCTCATCCTCAGACTCCGGTGTCTCAGCATGAGCTGATTTCCTGGTTCTGCCCTGACGCTGGTGATAGGAACAGAGAGCACCATGCAGCCACGCTCTGGTGCGGGTCTGTGCGCCCACTGGATCACTCCGGGATATGCACTGACATGGTGGTCTCTCCCACTGGGCCCGAGTTCCTCCAGGAAGGTGACAGCATGCTACTCATTGGTATACCCAACGCCTAGTCCAGTTCTTCAGTCGCCAGAAGCACAATGTCTGCCTTTGAGTGGGTGGGTGGGTGGGTGGGTGGATGGATGGATGGATGGATGGGGGGCAGTGGTGGGACGGTGCGGGCACAGGGGAAGGAAAGTGCTCAAAAACCAGACGTAAAGAAGCTTGAGGTTAAGTGTGCGTGACTCCATGTGTCATGAAGGCAGGCTCACATGCAACTAGGTAAACCCACCTGAGAGAAGTTCTCAGAAAAACTAAAGGCCTTAAAGCCAGTGTCACTGCAGGCCTTTTTCACAGCGGACTTTACTGCTGGGGAATTGGCCCAGACGGCGAGAAATAACTGATTTCACAGAGGAGGTTTCTAGGCAGAAACCAGTGGCTTCCTGTCCACGGCCCCGCCCATTAGTGCTCCAGGGTCCTCTCCTGTGCTCCTGGGCAGTCTTTTGTCCTCTTCCAGTTGCCATCCCCATGCTGTGTATCCGCTGGACATGGGGCAGGGTGCCAAACACCTGCTGAACGAACGAGGCTGGCTGTAGAAGGTGGTGAGATAAGGTGGGAGGACCAAACACATCAGCATGACGTTCTCCTCCCCAGTGTCTGTCAAGAAGCCCAGGTGGGCTGGAACCGCTTGACCTGTGTTTTTTTATTCCCTTGGGATATAACTGTGATCAGCAGCTCCTAAATCAGTTTGTTCCAGAATGTGGGTTATGTGAAAACTACAAAGATGGGTAACACAGTCCCTGTCTTCCAGGAATTTACTCTCTCCATGGGAACATCCAAATATATTATTTAAAAAACTTATGGAGCCAGGCCTGGTTTGGCTCAGTGGATAGAGTGTCGGCCTGCGGACTGAAAGGTCCCAGGTTCGATTCCGGTTAAGGGCATGTACCTTGGTTGCGGGCATATCCCCAGTAGGGGGTGTGCAAGAGGCGGCTGGTCGATGATTCTCTCTCATCGATGTTTCTCTCTATCCCTCTCTCTTCCTCTCTGTGAAAAATCAATAAAATATATTTAAAAAATAATAATAAATAAATAAATAAAAACTTATGGAGGACCCTAATGGAGAGATCGACAACAATGCAGCATAGTAGGGAGTTTTAACACCCCACTTACTTCACTGGATAGATCTTCCAGACAAAAAGTTAACAAGGAAACAGTGACTCTAAAGGTCACACTGAATCAAATGGATTTAATTAATATTTATAGAACATTTCACACCAAAGCTGCAGAATATACATTCTTCTTAAGTGCACATAGATAATTCACAAAGACAGACCACATATTAGGACACAAAACAAGCCTCTACAAGTTCAAGAAGACTGAGATCATATCAAGCATCTTCTTAGATCATAGTGGAATGAAATTAGAAATCAATTACAGTAAAAACACCCAAAAGCATTCAAACACATGGAGACCTAAATAGCATGTTATTAAACAATAAATGGCTTACCAATGAGATCAAGAAAGAAATCAAAAACTTCCTAGAAACAAAAATGAACACAAAACAACCCAAAATTTCAACACAGCAAAAGCAGTCCTGAGAGGGACATTCATAACACTACAGGCATAATTCAAAAAAAAAAAAATCAGCAATAAACTAACCCTACAACTTAAAGAACTAGAAAGAGAACAAGAAAAGCCCATAGTAAGTAGAAGGAAGAAAATAATAAGATTAGAGCAGAAATAAATAACATAGAGACTATATATATATATATATATATATATATATATTGTGTATGTGTGTGTGTGTGTGTGTGTGTGTGTGTATATATATATATATATATTTATATATCAAACCAAGAGCTGGTTCTTTGAAAGGATAAACGAAGTTGATGAACCTTGAGCCAGACTCATCAAGAAACAAAGAGAGAGGACCCAAATAAATAGAATCAAAAACGAAAGTGGAGAAGTAACTGCTGACACCACAGAAATACAAAGGATTGTAAGAAAATACTATGAACAACTCTATGCCAACAAGCTGGACAATGTGGATGAAATGGAAAATTCCTAGAAAAATACAATCTCCCAAACTGAATCAGGAGGAATCGGAAAACCTGAAGAGGCCAATAACAACTGATGGAATAGAAGCAGTCATTTAAAAACTCCCACCAAACAAAAGCCCAGGTCCGCTGGCTTCACAGGGGAGTTCTACCAAACAGTCAAAGAAGAACTAGCACCTGGACTCCTCACACTATTCCAAAAATTCCAAGAGGAAGGAACACTTCCAAGACATTTTTATGAAGCCTGCATCACCCTAATTCCAAAACCAGATACAGACTCTACAAAGAAAGAGACTTACAGGCCACTATCCCTGATGATCATAGATGCTAAAATCCTCAACAAAATATCAGCAAATGGGGTCCAGCAATATATTAAAAAGATCATTCAGCAGGACCAAGCGGGATTATTCCAGAGATGCAAGGCTGGTGCAATATTGGCAGATCAGATAAACGTGATACATCGCCTAAACCAGCTGAAGGACTGAAGTCACCTGGGGGAACAGAACAGGAGGAAAAGCCAGTGCGGCTCTCCGGAGCCGGGCCTGGGCCTGGGGTCTGAGCGGAGCGGAGGGAGGAGCTGTTCCCTGGGCCCCGCGGTCCGGAGCCTCCGCCATGTGGTTTCCATCGGAGCCGGCCCCTCGGGAGGCGGGAGGGGAGCGGGTGCCCTCGGCCCGGAAACGCGGACAGCAGGCGACAGGCTGCGGCTGTCCCTCCCCGGGGGCCGTGTCCCGACCTCGCGGCACACGGCCGCTGCCGCCTGCTGGCCCGGGAGGACAGCCCCGCCTCCGCCCCTCCGGGTCTGCGAGGCCCCTGCGCGGGCCGGCCCCCGGCAGAGGACAGGCTGTGGGCTTAGCGCCGGGCCTGCCCTCACAGCTGCCCTCACAGACCAGCTTTCCTTTCCCGCGCAGCTCACAGCTGCCAATGTACGTGCCCACGTTCTGGGAAATGGTTTCAGAGTGAGTCAGGAGCCCTGACTCAGTGGAGAGTGGCCGGGTTCACTTCCCGTAGGTCATAGGCCTGCCTGCGGCCCCATCCCCAGGAGAGGGCCTGCAGGAGGCAGCCGATCCGCGATTCTCTCATCACTGATGTTTCTCTTTCTCTCCCTCCTGAAATCAATTATATTCTAAAAAGTGAATGAGGAAAACGGAGCATCGCACAGGTGAGAGCCAGTGAAGTGGCCTCTCCGGCCTTCCTGCACCACCTCCCGAGCCACGCCTCCCCGCAGGCCACTCTTCACGCTGTAACGGAAGATATTGGACAAAGTGGGGGTTCTCTTTCCCACGGAGGGGAGGGCGAGGGGGAGCTTCTTATGACACCCTGAGCAAAAGAATCCTCTGAGACTCACCCGGGAGAACGCGATGTCTATTGCGTGGAACAAAGCCCTGATTCTCCATCCGGCTTCCCGGAGCCAGTCCCTCCCGGAGGTGTGGCTGGGGTGTCAGCAACGCTGGGAGCAACACCCGTGCCCAGCCCTTCCATGGGGCAGCGGGGCCAGCCAGCGCCGGGCTAGCTGAGGCCTGGAACCTATTGCGTGGAGCCCACGCGGCCGTGGGCCTGTGGGGGAATGCCAGGAAGCCACGTGTGCGCCATGAGCCACGTGTGCACAGAGGAGCCCAGCGCATAGGGAGCGAGCTCCTTTGTTCAGGGAGTAAGTGTCCCGAGTCTCTGTGGGCCTGCAGTGGCCACGCCCACTCTGGCCAGCCATCTCTGTCCCAGGTGTGACTCCCCTAGTCCTCCCAGCTTCGTTGGGCGCATGTGCATCTTCCCCTTGTCCGGGCTCCTTCCCCCGGTGCTTTGCAGAGAGCACGCCTATGATGTGTGCCTTCCCCTCGCTCCCTCCTGCTGTTGGTAACCAGGTTGATTACAGCTGCATCGGTGCTGGAGAGTGAAGCTGAGCGTGGAAGAGCCAGCTTAAAGTGCCTCCGCCCCCATTGCCTGCGCCTCAGGGTGGACTAACCTCCTGTGTGCGCAGCCCACACTCTTCCTGTCGGGCCTGCCCAGCTCTCCAGCTCATCTCCCGCCCTGAGGTTCTGTGGGTCACTGTGAACTTCTCATCTTTTCCTGAAGCCTCTCTCCAGGTCATCCCAACAACTCTGTAGTCACGTAGTGGGCAATGTTAACCTCAAAACACAGGGAGGCCCTGACTGGCTTGGCTCGATGGATAGGGCATCGGCCTGCGGACTGAAGGGTCCGGGTTCGATTCCAGTCAAGGGCATGTACCTTGGTTGTGGGTACCTCCCCAGTAGGGGGTGTGCAGCAGGCAGCTCATCGTTGTTTCTCTCTCATCGATGTTTCTAACTCTCTATCCCTCTCCCTTCCTCTCTGTAAAAAAAAGAAATCAATAAAATACATGTTTAAAAAAAAAGCACAGAGAGAAAGAGAGATAGGAAATGTTACTTAGAAAGTAGCCTTGCCGCCGAAACCGGTTTGGCTCAGTGGATAGAGCGTCGGCCTGTGGACTGAAAGGTCCTGGGTTCAATTCCGGTCAAGGGCATGTACCTTGGTTGCAGGCACACCCCCAGTAGGGAGTGTGCAAGAGGCAGCTGATCGATGATTCTCTCTCATTGATGTCTCTAGCTCTCTGTCCCTCTCTCTTCCTCTCTGTGAAAAATAAATAAAATATATTTTTTTAAAAAGAAAGAAAAAGAAAAAAAAAAGTAGCCTTGCCCTAGCTGGTTTGGCTCAGTGGATAGATCATCAGCCTGTGGACTGAAGGGTCCTGGGTTGATTCCTGTCAAGGACACATGCCCAGGTTGTGGGCTTGATCACCAGTAGGGGGCGTGCAGGGGGCAACTGATCCATGATTCTGCGTCATTGATGTTTCTATCTCTCCCTTTCCCTTCCTCTCTGAAATCAATAAAATATTTAAAAACAAAAAAAGAAAGAAAATAGCCTTCATAATGACCCTGTTCCACATGTAAGTGGAATCAGATAATATTTGCCAAGTAATCTTCTTTTCCGAGTCCCTTCATAGAGGCCGCGCCGTTCTCGGGCTGTGCCCTGGCTGGGAACGGCCGGAGGGGAAGTGCGTGCCCCTGGGTGAGCTCGGAGAGCCGCTGTCTGCGCCTGCGGTCCCTGCGGGCGCCGGCGGCTCCTCCTCCGCAGAGGTCCCCCGTGGCCCCGTGCTGTGCTTTAGAACAGGCATTCCTGCATTTAACCCTGCACCAGCCCTGTGGAATGAGGACTATTGTTATGCATTTACAGATAGCAAAGCTAGTTTTAGGAAAGTTAGGGATCTTAATGAAGGCCACATAGCAAATGGCAGTATCAGAGCGCCATCTGACCCAAGCCTCTGGTGACCTCCCCCCTCGCTGATTTAGACCTCAGTTCTCAGAGGTCAGAGGAGATGCGTTCTCTCTGGTTTGTTCTTTTCCGTGTTTGTTTTGTTTTGTTCCAAACCCTAATTATATATGACTAAGAGGAGTTAAGAATGTCCTCCAAGACTCAAAATATTCTTTTTCATATTTATGTTCTAACCTCTGTGGCTACCAGAAAATATTTCATAATGGAACTGGTGTGGCACGTGAAATATCTACACCTTTAATATTTGAGGGAGCCCAGCTGGCATGGCTCAGTGGTTGGTCACGGGTTCAATTTCCAGCCATGGATCATGTGTTCAAGTCCCACATGCCCAGATTGTAGGCTCCATCCCCAGGGTGGGGCTTGCAGGAGGCAGCTGATCGATGATTCTCTCTCATGATCGATGTTTCTGTCTCTCCTTCTCCCTTCCTCTCTGAAATCAATAAAAATATATGTTTCTAAAAAATATTTGAGGGAGAGAACAGAGAGTTAAAAATAAATGATCGGGCCATGTTCGGGGAAGGAAAGGATCATCGGCACCCCATCGCGGCGTGTTGTACAGTGGGCCCTGTGTCTGCGTGCTCTGCATCCACACACTCACGCACCTGCAGGTGGGAACGCCAGGGGAACTGGCATTGCAGCTGAAGGGCAAAAACCGTACTTCAAACGCTGCTCCTGTGCCCCCTGCCCGTCACATTCCCCAGGCAGTCTATCGCGTCGCTCCACGCCTCGGTTTCCTCGTCTGTAAAATGGGAATGGGAAGTGTGCCTATTTTACAGAGTGGTTGTGAGGTTTAAATGTTTACAGAGCTCTTAGCAAGTGCTCAACTAGATTAGCTTTTAGCATACTGTTCCTCCTCCCGCCATGCAGGTATGGCTCGGTTTGGAAACAGGGAGTGTGAGGTTAATCGTGTCAGGTCTGTGCTGACTGGTTTTTCTTGTCGCACACTTACACCCTTTACATTGCGGAGGCATGAGGAGCGATCTAGACCTGACCTGAAGTACATGGGTGACCTAGAGTGACCCCGAGTGTGCGGGTTCATGCCCTTCGAGATAAGGTCCTGCTTCCTGAGGGGATCCCTGCTGGAAGTCTGCTCGAGGGATGGAAACACGTCCATAGTCACACACTGCCGTTCTGAGCCGCATGCTGGTTGCATTTCCGTAGGCAGTTTATTGTGGCTTGTCCACACTGCCTGCCGTCCACACTGCCTGCCGTCTGCATTGCCTGCCGTCCGCACTGTCTTCCGTCCGCACTGTCTTCCGTCCGCACTGCCTGCCGTCCACACTGCCTGCCGTCCACACTGCCTGCCGTCCGCACTGCCTGCCGTCCGCACTGCCTGCCGTCCGCACTGCCTGCCGTCCGCACTGCCTGCCGTCCACACTGCCTGCCGTCCGCACTGCCTGCCGTCCACACTGCCTGCTGCGCAGATGCCACCGGGGTGTGTGCCAGGGGGTGCTCAGAAGCAACCCTCAACCGAGTTTTAGGTTTACAATCACTTCTAGCCTCTGAGCTATCTTTTCCGACCATTTTCAAAGCGCTTGCTCTCCGCTTCCTGCTCAGTAAGGACCCAGGAAGGATCTGGCCACTGGCAGAGGCACCTGCGGGGAGCGGGGTGCCTTCTGCTGGGTGAGCGCATGGCTCCGGGGCTCCCCTGGGGGAGAGGGAGAGGGGGACTGCTGAGCCTGCTCCTCCTCCTCCTCTCCCTCCTCACCTGTGAGCACCATCCAGCTTGCCGGACACAGAAGAGCCGGTTCTTCCTTTGGAACTTGGCCATGCCTCTGCCTCTCTGGGGCTGAGCAAAGCTCCTGAGCTGGTCCCAGCCACTTCCCAGCACTGGGTTGTTCTGTGAGGCCTGGTGGCCATGAGGGTGGGAGCTGATCCTGGTCCTGGTCCAGGCGCCCAGCCATGAATACAAGACTGCGCAGTGTTCCCTCCCCACCCTCTACCTCCCCTCCCTTTCAGCGCTTTCACCTCCCCACCTGCATTCCTAGGAGGAGGGCGGCCCCAGCCCGGCTCTGCCTGGTGTGGGCAGTTGTCTGTGTGGCTTCGTGGTTTTGACTGCTGAGCAGTGCAGGAGGCGAAATTCAATCCTCGACTCTCTAACTTCTATTTATTTCTCTAGTATTTTGAGCCTGGAGCTCCCCACAAGGACAAATGAGTGTTTTGTTGAAAAGGAATGGGGGGGGGGGGTCCATGTGAAAGTAACACCGTTTCCGGCAAAAACGGTGTCCTGGGGTCAAAGCCCGGGTCCCAGCCCCAGCTGTGCCATACACATGCACCCGTGTGACCGTAGTCGCTAACTGGCAAGGCAAAGTGGCTAACTGAGAAGCAGTAAGAACAAGGTAAAGCCAAGACAAACTCCGAAAGACAAACCTCTGGCTCAAAGTGGCTGTGCCATTGGCGGTACTCCTTATGTTTCTATAGGCACAGTGGCCTTTACAGCACAGAAAATGGAAAACTTAAACAAAGTTTTCCTTCCGAGCTGCGGGCTGCGGGCTGCGGGCTGCGGGCACAGCCAGAGCTGAGGCGAGGCCACTCCCCCGCACCGCAGCTCCAGCCTGAACCCAGCGCTGACACAGCATGCCTGGTGGGCAGGAGGAGGAAGGAAGGAAGGAAGGAAGGAAGGAAGGAAGGAAGGAAGGAAGGAAGGAAGGAAGGAAGGAAGGAGAACATTTTTTAAATTCCCACCCTGGCCAGTGTGGCTCAGTGGATAGAACATCGGCCTGTAGACCAAAGGGTCCCAGGTTCGATTCCGGTCAAGGGCAGGTGCCTCGGCTGCAGGCTCCTCCCCAGCCCGGGCCCTGGTTGGGGCTTGTGCTGGAGGCAACCCAGCGATGTGTTTCTCTCACCTCAGTGCTTTCCTCTGTCTTTCCCTCTCTCTTCTTCTCTCCCCAAAATCCAATGGAAACATATCCTCGGTGAGGATTAACAAAAAAGGGAAAGAAAGTGTGGACACAGAAGCAGAGCGGCGTGACCGGTGAGAGCCCGTCCGTTCCCTTCGCGGGGAACAGCGCCAGTTCAGGAGGCTGGCTTCCCGCTGTGCCTCTCGCTCCTGCGGACGTTCGCCGTGGGGATGGCACATGTGCGACACGTCAGAGCCCTTTCTGAGAGGGCGCTCCCGGGCGCGGGGGGCTCCCCGGACGTGGGCACTCACCGGGCGTGGGGGGCTCCCCGAACGTGGGCACTCACCGGGCGCGGGGGGCTCCCCGGACGTGGGCACTCACCGGGCGTGGGGGGCTCCCCGGGCGTGGGGGGCTCACCGGGCGTCTGGGGCTCACCAGGCATGGGGGGCTCCCCGGACGTGGGCGCTCCCCGGGCGTGGGGGGCTCCCCGGGCGTGGGGGGGCTCACCGGGCGTGGGGGGGCTCACCGGGCGTGGGGGGCTCCCCGGGCGTGGGCGGCTCCCCGGGCGTGGGGGGGCTCACCGGGCGTGGGGGGCTCCCCGGACGCGGCGGGCTCCCCGGGCGTGGGCGCTCCCCGGGCGTGGGCGCTCCCCGGGCGTGGGGGGCTCCCCGGGCGTGGGGGGGCTCACCGGGCGTGGGGGGCTCCCCGGGCGTGGGGGGGCTCCCCGGGCGTGGGGGGCTCCCCGGGCGTGGGGCGCTCCCCGGGCGTGGGGGGCTCCCCGGGCGTGGGGGGCTCCCCGGGCGTGGGGGGCTCCCCGGGCGTGGGGGGTTCCCCGGGCGTGGGCGCTCACCAGAGGTGGGGCGCTCACCGGGCGTGGGGCGCTCCCCGGGCGTGGGCGCTCCCCGGACGCGGGGGGCTCCCCGGACGTGGGCGGCTCACCGGGCGTGGGGCGCTCCCCGGGCGTGGGGGGCTCCCCGGGCGTGGGGCGCTCCCCGGGCGTGGGGGGCTCCCCGGGCGTGGGGCGCTCCCCGGGCGTGGGGGGCTCCCCGGGCGTGGGGGGCTCCCCGGGCGTGGGCGCTCCCCGGACAGGGGCGCTCCCCGGGCGTGGGGGGGCTCCCCGGGCGTGGGGGGCTCCCCGGGCGTGGGGGGCTCCCCGGACGTGGGCGCTCCCCGGACGCGGGGGGCTCCCCGGACAGGGGCGCTCCCCGGGCCTGAGGTGGCCAGCTCAGGGCGGCAGCGCTGCTGGCTTCCTGCTCTTCCACGCGCTGCCCGCCCGCCCGGGAGCCCGGCAGGCCTGGGCGGGGGCGGAGGGGCAGGCGGCCAGCTCAGGCCCGCTCGCCGCCCGGGACGGCAGAGGGCAGCGGGAGGGCAGCCTCGGAGGCCGGAGGCGCAGCCTCGGGTCATTGGGTACCAGTGATGGAGACGGGTAATGAGCGTGGGGCTGCCCCTGGGTCATGGGGTGTGGGTGACAGGAAGAGCCAAGTTAGCCAACATGGCCTGGCTGAGGCCTTGCCTGCAGGGTGGAGGCTCGGAGAGGCCTGCGGGGGGTGGGAGGCCGGGGGAGGCCTACGGGGGGAGGGGAGGGAGGCCGGAGGAGACATGCGGGTGGAGGCAGGGGGAGGCCTGTGAGGGAGGGGGTGTCGCGAGGCCGGGGGAGGCCTGGGGCGGGGGGGGGGGGGGGGGGGGGGGGGAGGCCTGCGGGCTGGTCTGCCTCTAACACCGCAGGGGGGGCGCTGGTGTCCGGTTGCACCATCTGCGCACATCAGTAAGGAGTGTGGTGATCGAGGCCGGGTCTTGTTCACCCTCGTGTCTCTGGGAGAAGAGAAGCCCCAGCCCTTTCTGAGCTGTTTCTTGTGAAAGCTGAGCTGAGCCTGGTTACAGCTCTGCTCACCCACGGGCAGCATGGTGAGCTGTGACGCCGTTGAGGACGTCTGCTATCCGGTGCTTAAAGCCCCTTAAGAGTGCGTGTGAAGTGTGTGGCCATCTTTGTGTGGACACAGGAGTAGGCGGCGTTCCGGCATTCACCGGAAGGCTAACGGCAGTGGATCAGCCTTCCGTGTGGGGTGCAGGCCACACGCAGGGGATTGCTGCTCTCACGTCCTGCCTGCCGAGGTCTTTGAAGATAATTCCTCCCCTCCCCAGTGTGAAGACGGCAAAAATCTCCCCCTGCCGCTCTCCAGGAACCCTGTCCCAGCAGCGCGAAGACTATAATGACTCCGTGTGTAGAGGCACAGGAGGGCTGCGGTCAGACTGAGTTGAATTCTGGTTCTACCAATTGCTGGCTCTTAGGTCTGAGCAAATTCTTAGCCTCTCTGAATCTTAGGTTTTGCTCTGTAAATTGAGGCCAAACCCTGCCTAGTAGCGTTAAATAATTATATGGAGATATATATATATATATATATACTAGAGGCCCAGTGCATGAAGTCCATGCACTCAGGGGTCCCTCAGCCCGGCCTGCGCCCTCTCCCAGTCCGGGTAATCACAGGGGATGTCCTTAGCGGTCCATGGAGGTGGGAGAGGCTCCTGCTACCACCACTGCACTCGCCACTGTGAGCCCGGCTTCTGGCTGAGAGATGCTCCCCCTGTGGGAGCACACTGACCACCAGGGGGCAGCTCCTGCATTGAGCATCTGCCCCCTGGTGGTCGGTGCATGTCATAGAGACCGATTGTTTGGCTATTCTGTTGATTTGCATATTACCTTTTTATATATAGGATATATATTGTCTTTTAATATACAGTAATTGGCATATGGTAAGCACTTGATAAATGCTAAATATTATAAGGCATTTTTATAACTTTCAGATAAACTAATACTAAACAACAATTCCCACTTACTCTGCATAACAAACTCAACATATGTATGGAAAGAATTGTGAAATCTGAAAAGTGCTGTGCAGATATGAAAGTGGTAGTATCAGCTTATTGTTGCCATTCTATACAACAGAAAACATTCATGTCAAGATCCACGCTTAAAGGATGTTGTAATTACAAAACAACTAGTGTGTTGGTTAAAGCATTCTTAATTCTGTGAGATGGTGATTCCTAATCCTTTGGGTTACTCCCTGGGGAGAGCCAGCGGCCACAGGGTGAGGTGGCCCCAGAGGTGTAAGCTAACAGCTCGGTTAAGCCTTCAGATAAGACCACAGTCCCAGCCAGCAGTTCACTGCACCTCATGAGAGACCCTCAGCCAGAGCTACCCAGCAAAGCTGTGCTTAGATCCCTGACCACAGAGACTAGGAGATAAGCTGTGTTGTTAGGGGGTGGGAGGAGGTAGGAGAGAGTAAAGGGGGAATAAATGGTGATGGAAGGAAACTTGATTTTGGGTGGTGAACACACAGTGCAATATACAGAGGATGTATTATAAAATTGTACCCCTGAAATCTAGGTAATTTTATTATCCGATGTCACCCCAATACATTACATTTTAAAATATTATAAAAATGTTGACACTAAAAAACAAGAAAAATATTTTTAAAATAAGTTTTAAAATGGGTTGGTAACAAGGTACACATAAAAAGGTATGTTTGTTGTTTTGAAAAGCTAAGTTCTGGGACATTTTGTATGCAGCGATACATAACAAATAGTACGATATGCACATGGAGAAGCACAATTGTAAGGATGAGGCTTGATGAATGTCACAAGTTAACATCCCACGGAATGAGCAGCTGGTCTAGCACCAGAGCACAGCCAGCCCTCGGGAGCCTCGCCTGCTCCCTCCCCTACGCCCTCCCTCCAGGAGTGCCGCTGTCTGGACTCTTACCCCCTTTTCTAGCAGCGTTTCCCAAAGTGTGGTACGCGTCCGCCCAGGGGCGCGGAAGAGTCTGGTGGGGGTACGCGTTGCACCGGAGTTTGGTGGGGATGTGCACTGCACCGTGCTTAGCTGCACCTGATTCTACGTTCTTGTGAATACGATGGGTACTCAGCGTTACGAAAATTATAGAAGGGGTACACCTATGTCAAAAGTTTGGGAAACACTGCTCTATGGGATCAGGAGTGAGACGGAAGATGAGAAGCTCCGAGGGAACTCACAAGAATAGGGGTGTCACTCTGGGCCAATAAAACTCGGTTAGCCATACGGAGAGAGTCGGTGCGATCCGCTGCGGAGGGCGTGGGCTGGGTTAGCGTCGTGGCTCTGCTCCGAGCAGCTGTGATCTCGGGCAAGTTCATCTCTGCATCTGCATGTCTTCGCCTGTAAACCAGGGTGAGGAGGCTGCTTACCTCGCACGATTGTTGAGAAGATTAAAAGTGGAAAGGACTATAAGTCCAGAAGAACCATGCACATAACAAGTGCTCAAAATAAGTGCTTTCCTATTATCTAAACAGAGAGGGTAAAATGTGTTGGATGATCGTTTGTACCGCCTATCATTTTGTTTGTTTCAAAGGGACAGACAATGGGAGGTGAAGGGGGAGCATAACGTGAAGGCTGAAAAGATGCTTTAATTCATCAGTGGATTTTAACTGTCAGTGAAATCTCCATTGCCACGATTCCCCCAAATCGGACGAGTGCCCTCTCGGGAGTAAGCTGTGTCCATGTTTAATTCCTCCCTCTGCCCGATCTCTCTGCGGAAGGTAATAAAAGATTTAGATGTAGAAAGCAGCGTGGCGTTCGGAATGAAATAGAGGCTATAAATAGACATGACGATGAAATAGGCTAGTGAGGGATCTAGCTCTCAGTCTCAGAATCAAGGGCACACGTTCTTGTCATCTGTGCACTAGCACAGGCGTGCTTGTAAGGGTCCGGAGACAACTGTGTGTATGTTTTCCTACATATGTGAACATGGGTGCATGCATGTACTTGCTTATGACTGAGGACAGAATCCTGAGGCATAAGTGGTGTATTTCTGAATAGCAGAGGGACCCCTGTGGGCCAAGTCAGTGCCCTCCCCCGACAATCTTTACTGGAGATGCCAGCCCTGGCAGATGGCTCAGCTGTTTGGAGAGTCATCTGTACACCAGAAGGTGGCAGGTTCCAATCCCGGTCAGGGCACATACCTGGGTGAGGGTTCGATCCCCAGCGGAGATATAAGAGGCAACCAATTGATACCTCTCTCTCTCTCTCTCTCTCTCTCTCTCTCTCTCTCTTTCTGTTGTCTCTTTCCCTCTCCCTTCCTCTCTCTCTAAAGTCAATAAGCATATCCTCAGGTGAGGATTGGGGAAAAACAGAGCCGCCCAGATGGTGAACCCCAGCTCTGTGTAGGACGTGACACAACACACGATGACTGTGTGGTGTTGCTGGCCAGTCTGTGAGCCCTTGCCAGGACTCAGGGTCCACGGCCAAGTGCTGAGGTCAGCCTTCCTAAGCGTCAGACTGCGTGCCCAGTCTCCGCAGCCATCCCTTTTACAGCTGCCGTCCCCGCGCCACCGGGACCGTCCTCTCAGTCCTGGCGGGCCCTCGTGGGATGTTGACCACACCCTGCCTGGAGCGGGGTTTGCTGGATTGCTGTTTGTCTCTCTGTGACTGCGACCTCTTCACAGGCAAAGGGCAAAGTCATTCCTCTTTGCGTCCCAGCAGCACCAGGGATGGTCACAGGAGGTGAGCGCTCAGGTTCACTGAACAATGCACATCCTCGCTGCGCCCCCTGGTGGGCTGTTTTGTCAGTGAACCTGAAGCACCAGGGAAATGCTATACGGTAGAAATCCGTTTCCCTGCATGTCCTTTGACATCTTATAATAAAAAACGGTAACGCCAGCAGACCTGTCAAGATGGTTGCTGTGATTTCAGATTATAGTGCTAATAAGAGAATATGAGTAATTTCATCAAACTAGGTTTAAAAGCGAAATTTCCCTGACAGTAGACAATGACCTTCCGCCAGCCTTCCCAAGCGTGAGACTCCAGGCCACACATAGCAGGCCCCTCAGGATTTTGTAATTCAGGAAGTTACTGGCTGAGAACAAAGACCACACTTTAAGAGCCGAGGGATCCTAAAGGTTCTTTTGCTGACTCCTCGGTCCCTCTCAGTCATCTGGGACAGAGTTCTTTAAAAGTCAGGTGTGCCAGCCAGTGTGGCTCAGGGGTTGAGTGTCGACCTATGAACCAGGAGGTTACCATTCGATTCCTGGTCAAGCGCATGTCAGGGTTGCGGGCTTGAACACCGGTGGAGGGTGTGCAGGAGGCAGCCTATCAGTGATTCTCAGCATTAATGTTCCTATACCCCTCTCCCTCTCTACAATCAAATATATATATATATATATATATATATATATATATATATATATATATATATACACACACACACACACACACATACACACACATACACACACACATACACACACACATATATATATATATATATATACACACACACACACACACACATACACATACGGAATATATATTAAGTAAACTCTGCCCCCCTGTGGATCAAACATCCCGGATAGGAAGACACACTATGGTTGCATGGACCATTTCCTCTTGGTTGTTCCAGAGTACCTCGGCGATGTCTAAAAGTGATGCTGGCACTCTGGCTGGGTAGCTCAGCTGGTTAGAACATCGTCCTGACGTGCCACGGTCATAGGTCAATCTCCTGTCAGGGCACTGACAAGATTCAACATAACTGGAACAACAAGTTGATCCTGCTCTTTCCCTCTCCCTAAAGCCAATCAGCCAATGAGAGCGTGTGCCCTGCAGGTGGCTCAGCTGGCTGGGCGTCATCCTGTGCACTGAAGGCCGCCGATTCTTTCCCAGTCAGGGCGCACGCCGGGTTCAGGCTCGGTGCCCAATCAGGTCTCTCTCTCTCTCTCTCTCTCTCTCTCTCTCTCCCCTTCCTCTCTAAAAAAAAAAAAAATTAGAAGCATAAATAGAATGTTAAAGTCACGCTGCCAGTGGAGCAAAGCTGGCTGTTTGTATAAATTGTGCAAAGCCCGGTTGATGGAGACAAATACATGGACGGAGAGCAGCCTGCACTGCGTCTTGTACTTTCGTCCACGCGACTAGGCCAGCGCCGTGAACAACTCAGCATGGATAACCAATTCATGGGCCATACGGTCAGGAAGGGCGTTAGCTGCTGGCTCCAGCATCACAATGGAGTCCCTTTCCCGGGCCTGGACAGACCCCCACTGAGTGGCTCCCACAGTGAAACATTTACTGAAAGACCCAGCTCGTTTTCACATCAGGTCTCTCAGGAAGCCTATCAACATATTCGGCCCAAACGGAGCAAGTCTTTTGCCAGAGAGTCCTGTCATTCAGGCCTGGAAGGAGGTGCTGGCTCTCCCGTCTGGTTTTCTGGGTGAAGCGACTCCCCTTCCGGACCTAACTCCGTCCTCCGGGCACACTGGCAGCCCCACGGCCTTTAATGCTGGGACGGAACTGCCCGCTGCCCCGGAGCCTGCCATCCGCGTGCCATTTCACCGCAATGTGTCCCAGTCCTCCGGCAAGCATGTTGGTCCCATTATCTCCTCCTCCCAACCTCCGGGATGCCGCCTTTGTGCCCCTGTCCCTGTCAGGGACCCGGAGCGGGCGGGCGCGGGTGCCTGGCGCTGCTTCCCTAGCAGGAGCACCATGACGCGGCCTCGCCCTGCCTGGGCGCCAGCCCCTCCCTGGCGCGCGGACTCCCCCCTCGGCCTCTGCAGGCCGCGCCGCACAGCAGGGCGTGCACCTCGCAGCCCCCAGGTCCCCCGGGCTCTCCCGCCCAGACTCCGGGTGGGAAAACGTAACTTGGAACATTCGCCTCCATAAACTTCGTCTTGCTTTGGGTCAGGATTCCAGCTAGCGAGATCTTAAGTGTGCCCACTCAGATCAGCTCTGCTACTTCGCTCTGTGCTGTGCACAGCCAAACCCAGAGGTTTCCAATCAACCAAGTTCAAGGGCAACGACCTTCAACCTTCGGTGTGGGAAAGAGGAGAGAATAAACGCAGGAGCGAGCTCTGCGCCACGGCGCCACCCTCAGCCCTGGGCCTCCCTGCCCGCTCTGAAGCGGGGCTCAGAGAGGGAGGGCCGGAAGGCTGAGCTAAACCAGCGGGAAGGAGCACAGTGGGAGCCTTCCCATGGCTCGAGAGGGGGGAAGAGACTGTTACCTCTTTGTATTCACAGCACATACTTAGCAGGTAGCGAGCCCAGCACAATTTTTTTTAAAATATATTTTATTGATTTTTCACAGAGAGGAAGGAAGAGGGATAGATAGCCAGAAACATCGATGAGAGAGAGTCATCGATCAGCTGCCTCCTGCACACCCCCTACTGGGGATGTGCCCGAAACCAAGGTACATGCCCCTGACCGGAATCGAACCCAGGACCCTTCAGTCCGCAGACCAACGCTCTATCCATTGAGCCAAACCGGTTTCGGCCCAGCACAATTTTTTAACAGATAAATACATACAGAGTACATATTGGGATAGTTTTTCACAGATAGGAAGGGACGGAAGTTGATAATTTCTAGTTAGCCTGTGATTAGTCTGAAAACATCAACCCCTCTATCAGCAAGGGGCTCTCCTGTTCCCTCTCCGAAGGGAACAAGAGGAAGCTCAGTATCTGCTCGCACACCCCCGCCCCATACCCCGGACAGGGCCCAGCTGCCACCTGGACCCGAACCATCAGTTTTAGGGGTCCCGGGAACGAATGCCCCCCTCCTGGGAAAAATAGCAAGTCACCACACGGGCCAAGCTAGCAACTTTCTGTTGCACAGGACAATGCTCCATCAGCTGAGCCACACCGGCCAGGGCTAAGCCTCAATTTCTTGATCTATAAAATGAGAGAAGCTGATTTTTAAATCTCCAATTTCCTTTTTTATTTTTCTGACTGACATTTGATGATTTTTATTTTCCTGAGGCTTTCTCACATAGTTCGTGTAAAGCAAAGCACGAGAAAATTCTCTTCCCACGGAGCAGGCCCATTAAGAAAAGTGCAATCACTGGGGGGGGAGGGCTGCTTACACACTCACTCGCTCTCTGGCTGTGCCATCCCGCTTTGCAGGGGACTGAGGCTCAGGGGGGGCATTCTCCCAGCTCCAGGGCCTTTGGGAGGGGAGCAGGGAGGCCCACAGCTTCCAGGCTGCACCCCCTTCCAGCCGCCCCCCTCCCCCTGTCCTTCTCCCCCCGTCCACTTCCCCCACCACCAAAGGCTGCAGGCGTCCTGACACCCAGTGGGGATGTTCCCTCAAAGTCCCTGACACCCAGTGGGGATGACACCCAGTGGGGATGTTCCCTGTGTGATCCTGACACCCAGTGGGGATGACACCCAGTGGGGATGTTCCCTGTGTGATCCTGACACCCAGTGGGGATGTTCCCTGTGTGATCCTGACACCCAGTGGGGATGTTCCCTGTGTGATCCTGACACCCAGTGGAGATGACACCCAGTGGGGATGTTCCCTAAGGTTCCTGACACTCGTGGTTCTGCCACTAACTAGCTTTGTGCCTCGACATTTCAATTCCTGAGGCTGTAGTTTCCTCGTAATTGAATGTTGATGAACTTGAGGGCTTCCTAATGCAGATGGTGCCTGGATGCCAGGACCCCAGGCTGGCCCCGGGTGCAGGTTGTCCCTTCCGCTCACCCACCAGGGAGCCCCAGCATTGCCGCGCTGGGTTACACATGCCCAGCGCCTGCCCTTTAGGCGGCAGGCCAGGCTGTGGGGGTAGGAAGCCCAGAGGGACCTGGGAAATGCAGGGATCCAGTGGCCTGAGTCCGGGAGGGAGGCGCAGGGGCGACCAGAGGCCCGCACTGACCTTGAGGCTCCTCTCGGCCAGGTCATGGCAGAGGCCTCCCTGCTCCTACCTAATCCCAGGGTATAAATAGAACTGGCGCTGGCAAAGCACCCCCCTCCCCACCCCCGTCCCTTCCTGTGCGGGCATCAACCAAACCTGAGTCTCTGACTCCCTCTAGTGGCTCAAGCCAGCACTGCTGTCTGCATCTCTGTGCCGGGCACAGGAGGCCCGCTGTGGCCGGATGGCAGCTGGCTCTGGAGCCCTGCCGGCCGCTGGTTCCATGTGGGCACCGCTGTGTCCTCAGTGACGGGACGGGGCCAGGACCCTCCGCAGAGCTCAGCCTGTGCGCGCACAGGTCTCCCCGCTCCCGCTGCTTGTGGGGCTGAGGAAGGACGGGTGGGGGTAGCTGGGCCGCTGAAGCAGTGCAGGATGTGGGCCTCTGGCTGCTCGTTGGTAAATGAGTGCCTGGCTTAGAGTCACACCCACCGGCGATATTAGCACCCGCGGTGTGTGAGGCCGGGGCGGGGCGTGGGGTGCGGGGGTGCAGTGGGGTACGTGGGGTACATGGGGTGCGGTGGGGTGCGTGGGGAGTGGTGCTTGCTTTCAAGGCGCCGCCTGGCTGAGGGGCGCAGACATCGGGGAGCCAGGAGACGGACCGGCTGAGCGTGGCGAGGGGCAGTGCAGCGCCGCTGCCCCCTCCCTGTCGCCCTGTGACCCTGTGCGTGGCTCCTCCCTCCGTGCGGAGAGCGGTCCTTCTGCACAGTCTGAGGTCCGTTCCCTGCCAACCTCCGCGGGCTCACCGGGAGGGGGGACACGCCATTGCAGCGCCCGGGCCTCAGCCCAAACCTCAGAGACTCAGAAAGGCTGAGAAGGCAGTAAGAGGCGAGGCCGCCCCGCTCAGCCAGCCACCGGCTCCTTTCTCTGCAGAACTTGGGGAGCCCCTGCTGTGCTGGTGTGAGCCACGGGGGGGCTCCCCCCGCAGCCAGCCCTGCAGCCTCCTGCTCGTCCCCTCGCTCTGTTCCCGCGGGGAGCACAGCCCTCCGCTGCTCCCTGCCGGGGGCGCTGGGGGGAGGGGGGGGCGGTGTGCTGCGGCCCGAGGAAGGCCTCCCACAGCCCTGGGGCCGCTTTCACTCCGAAGTTGGATCATGTTGCTGCGTAGGGAATGGCTTGAAATAGATCGTTTTTCACACTCTGCTCTTTAAAAAGAAAATTTAGATTGATTTCCAAGAGAGGAAGATAGAGGAGAGAAAGAAACATCAATGTGAGAGAGAATCATCGATGGGCTGCCTCCTGCACGCCCCCCACTGGGAATCTAACCATGACCTCCTGGTTCTTAGGTTGATGCCCAACCACTGGGCCACACCGACAGGGCCACGCTTTGAGATATATATATTTGATTTCAGAGAGGAAGGGGGGAGAGAGAGAAACATCAGTGATGAGAGTGAACCATTGATCGGCTGCCTTCTGCACCCTCCACTGGGGATTGAATCTGCAACCTGAGCATGTGCCCTTGACCAGAACCGAACCCAGGGCCTTTCAGTCCTCAGGCCCATGCTCTATCCGCTGAGCGAACCCCTGGGGCCGCCTTGCTTCTTCATTGCCGTTAAGGGGATAAGGAAGAGCCAGAGATAAGCACAGCTTGAGTGCCAGTCACATCAGACCCGGGCTGTAGGGGGTTCCACCACAGCCATCCATCGGCCATGGGCTCCGTGGCTTTCAGGGGCCCCGGGGGCACAGAGAGGTAACAGGAAGGAGGGGAGCAGGGGCCCAGCCTCCCCAGGACGCCCTCCCTGTGGGAGAGGAAGAACGTGGCGGAGTGCCACTGGCTCAGTGGGTGCGGGTCAGTGGGGGATGGAGCTGAGGTGTGACTCAGTCCTGCTGTGAACAGAAAGGGCTGGACCCGCGGATGTGAGAGCGGACAGACTGGGGGACCAGCTGGAGGGCGAGAGGAGGAAGAGGAGCTGCCCTCCAGCCCGCTTGTCCCTGGGGCACGCCTGCCCCGCCTTGGGGTCCGAGACAGCCTGGCCCGGAGGCCCTGCGGGGGGAGGGGGAGCGGGAGCCGGCCTGGCCCTGAGGAGCTCCCCGCGTCCCTTTGGTTTCCGTCCATTGGAAGCCCCTGCCGGTGGGGAGAGAAAACAAGTGATTGTGGACTGGAGAGTGTAAGGGGGGAGGGGGGGGGAGGATGGGATGAGGAGCCGGCCGGAGGCCCTGGCTGCTAGGCTTCGGGTCGGGTTCTCTCAGCGCCCGGCCGGGCCCGGCACAGGCACAGCCGGGGTCAGTGGTCAGTTTGTTCCCACACGGCCTGCCCTGCCGGTCCCGCCACTCACGGGCTCTCCTCTTGCAGTGTCCTGCTGTGTGGGCGCCTCGGCGGCTTACACTGAGATCAAGAAGGTGGCGGAGGAGAAGGTCACCCTGCCCTGCCACCACCAGCTGGGCCTCCAAGAGAAGGGCGCCCTGGACATCGAGTGGCTGCTCACCGACAGCAAAGGGAGCCAGAAGGCGGTAAGTGCAGCCTCTCCCCCGGCCACGCCCCCGCCTCTCCCCGGCCACGCCCCTTCTCCCACTGGCCACGCCCTCCTCTCCCACTGGCCACGCCCCCGCTCTGCCCCTCCGCACCCCCTCACTTCTCCTCAGCCCTCCTGTTTCTCACGGGGCCACAAAGGGCTAGAATTGCTTTTTGCCTTTTTGTAACCCTCACTCCAGTATATGTTTTTTAATCTTTAGATTAAGAGCGGAAGGGAGAGAAGCAGCCATCAGTGCCTCCGTACGTGCCCCAACCGGGGATCCAAACTGAAACCCAGGCTGTGCCTTGGCGGGGCAGGGAACTGGCATCCTCTGGGTGTATGGCCGATGCAGGCCGGCGGGAATTGCTTTTATCTGGCAGGAGGTCAGGTTCTGGACAGGGAACTAACCAGAGAGCGTGTTGGGTCATGAGGATGCGCGTCTGTTCTCTGGGGGAAGCAGGTGCTGCTGGGAAGCCCTCTGTCACTGCCCACCAGGGAGCCTGCCGTGGATGTCCGTCCACGAGGGGCCCAAAGGCAGGGCTCCGAGTGCAGGTGTGGAGGCAGGAGGAGGACTGAGGGCGAGGCCGCGGCACTGGGTGGGACGCCTGGCCCTGTGACCCCGGGCTGGCCTTCCTGGGGGCTGAGAATAGTAACCTGTTTTCCCCTCCTGCCCTGGTGGAATCCGCCGCGGACCCCTCAGCCTCGCTGCCAGCATAACTATCCTCCCGCCTTTACCCATTGACTTATTGTTTTAAAATATAGTTTATTGATTTCAGAGAAGAAGGGAGAGGGAGAAGGAAATAGAAACATCAGTGATGAGAGAGAATCATGGATCGGCTGCCTCCCGCAGGTCCAACGCTGGAGATGGAGCCCACAACCCAGGCCTGTGCCCGGACCGGGAATCAAACCGTGACCTCCTGGTTCATGGGAGCCCCACCGGGTGGACTGCTTTAATTTTTGTGATGAAAGTTTTGCAATTTAAAAAAAAAATGTCTATAACCTAGGAAGCTGGCCTTAGATTTTCCTTCTCCTACAGAACTTTACCATTTCCCAACTAAAAGGCGAAAAGCTGTCCTTTCCTCTCTCCACTGTCTACGTTTTTGTCATAAGATGGTTTTCAGGAGCAGAAGCTAAGGTTTTCACTGAACATGACTCACAGGATCCCTGTTGGGGTTTAACCTGCTTAGAGGGCCGCCCGCGTCGCCTGGGGATTTTGATCCCGCTTGTCATTTTGTTCTGTCGTCGCCCACGGCTCTGTTCTCTGCGGAGCAAGGTCACCCTAACCTGAGCCTGTCTCGTCAGTCCCACTTCCGAGCGAGCTAAAGGAGGGCGGTCTGCTCTAATAAAAATCAGGACTGGCTCCTCTCGCCCAACTTTCACCCAAATGCTCTTATTAAACTGAGAAGACAGAGTGCTTGGTCACGTGGCCAAGTGAGCCCAGGGGTCAGGACGCCTCTGGCGAGGACGAACCACCACTACTGCTTCTGGCGTCCCCCTGACGGCAGGCTCCGCCGCTCCTCCCCCAGCCTCACGCTACTGCGAGGCGTCCCCCTCCTGCACAGCTCTGTTCACATCTGAGGGGTTTTATGGTCGTGGAGTGCTAGCCTTCTGCAGAAGGGTGGGGGAGGCAGATGTCTTGAATGACCGTTCATGGGGGTTCGCCTAGTGACTTAGTCCAACCTCGTGAAGCCTGCACCTGCGTGCTGACCGAACCCTGGCCGCACAGGGTGAGGCCCCACTTGCCCATCAGTCCAGCACCTAGAGCCGAAGGCGAGAGAGAACCCCCGGCCGATACTCTCGGTGGCGACCCATCCTGCTCTCTCTGAAGCCACGAGGCCAGAGGCCAGACAGCAGTTCAGGCTGCACTTACCCACGTGCCCCGCGAGGCCCTGGGGTGCAGAGTGAGGGAGACAGCGGGCCCCCAGCTCCCTGGGCCTCGAAGTGGCATCCAGCAATTAGGAACATATGTGCACGTGTACGCAGAGCACCGTGCGTGTAGGCTACATGCCAGGCACAGGCCGTTGAGCACATATGACGTAATTCGACGGTGCCCGTGGGACTGTTGGTCGCATTTACACGCCAGGAGCTGAGGCTGAGCGCACGGAGAGCGGTGCTGAAGGTCGCCCGCTTTGCATTATGGAACCAGGCACTCTGGCGCGGGATCCACCAGCTGTGCTGCCTTCTTCTTCTTTTTTTCTTTTTTTAAATATATTTTATTGATTTTTTACAGAGAGGAAGAGAGAGGGATAGAAAGTTAGAAACATCAATGAAAGAGAATCATCGATCAGCCGCCTCTTGCACGCCCCCCACTGGGGATGTGCCCGCAACCAAGGTACATGCCCTTGACGGGAATCGAACCTGGGACCCTCCAGTCCGCAGGCCAGCACTCTATCCATTGAGCCAAACCAGTTTTGGCTGTGCTGCCTTCTTAAATACTGTGACATTATACCACGTGCTCTGCAGGAAGTAAGGAGGATGCAAGGATAAATTATTCCAGACGGAATTAGTTATGCAAAGACCCGATGCTGAAAACAGCTTGGAACTCCTGGAAGTTCTAAAAGATTAAAAATCAATTTAGTATACACCAATGTTACCTCAATAAAAAGAAGAAGAAAGAAGAGAAAACACTATTTTAAAAATCTATTTCTTTAAATTCAGTAAACGGGGACTCCGCTCTCTGCGGAGAAGCCAGTGTCAGCGTCGGGATCAGAGGCTGCTCCAGGTGGAGACGGGGACCCATGGCCAGAGCAGCTGCCGGAGCGGGAGGGCGGCACGCGCTCCGTGTGGGAAGGCGCCTCTGACAGAACCTGAAGGGCACCTCTGGGTGCCGGGGGAAGGCGGGCCTGGGGTCTGGGCGCCGCAGAGCGGTGTACGCGCAGCACACGGCCTGAGCCTGCGGCAGGGGCAGGCGGAACAGGGAGGCGTGGGCATGCGAGGGAGCTTACACTTTCTCCTCGGAGGCCATGGAGGCTTGAAGGATCTTAACAGCGAAGGGACATAAGCATTTCAAAGCAGTCACTCTGGCACCGTGCGGCCCGCCGGGTCAACTGGGGGCTCGAGTAAAGCAATATCAGGTAAACGATTCAGGCTGTGCAAGGCCAAGCCTGCAGTTACAGAGGCTGCGCTGTAAAGAAGGTTAATCAAATGTAGTATGTAGCTCTCACCGGTTTGGCTCAGTGGATACAGCATTGGCCTGCAGACCGAGGGGTCCCAGGTTCGATTCCGGTCAAGGGCATGTACCTTGGTTGTGGGCACATCCCCAGTAGGAGGTGTGCAGGAGGCAGCTGATCGATGTTTCTCTCTCATCGATGTTTTTAACTCTCTATTTCTCTCCCTTCCTCTCTGTAAAAAATAAGTAAAGTGTATGTGTTTTTAAATGTAGTATGCAAAGTGGCCAAGCTTGCTCGTGGCCAGGAGCTGGGGTAAGGTTGAGGTGGCTGAGAAAGGCGGGGGCTGGAATGGGTGTGGCACAGAAGGCAGGCTAACCAGGCCGTGAACCCAAGTCCAGCTTTGCGTTTGGATCTGAGCAGCGTGCCTCCTCCGGTGTGTGGGACGCACAGATCCGCAGGGAGCGTGTGGGCTGGTCAGCAGGCTCAGTGATAGCTGAATTTCAGCCTCGACCGGATGACATTAGACGCCAGAGCTTTCCTTCCCGTTCTAGGGATGGAAACAGTAGAATTTCCAAAGCCGGAAGGACCACCTCCCCCAGGGTCGGTCAGGGACACGGGAGGAACCTTTCCCCTCTGTTTTCGGATGGAGACATTGGACAAAGCGTTCCAATCCCTGTGCCAAGCCTCCTGGCCATGCCTCCACCCTCTCCTCTCCCTTTAGATCAGCAAAACCCCGATCTAAACGGAGGGGGCTGGCATCTGCCGCTCTGCGGGGCCTGGGACCCGGGCTGTGCCAGGGAGCTGAGCTGCCGCCTGCCCCCGGGCATCTGGGGCAGGTCCACCGAAAGGTCAGCAGACAGACAGCCCAGGCAGCTGGACGCATGCATTTCATTTCCTGTGTGTTTGTATGCTCACTGCTCTCCTGTTACACCCTGATCAATGGCTTAGTCTCCTAGAACTAAAAACAGAATAAGTGGGAGACACACAAACTCCTGAGATTCAGCGTATGTCTGAAAAGAACAGAGCCAGAAGGCAACCCGTGTCAGAAGTGTGTGAAATTCAGTCTGGGGGGACCACAGCTTCCTGTTTCCCGTGGCGACGTGCCTGTCCTCTCCCCTGGTACCCCGGTTTGGCATTTGTATGGCCACTTCTTCCAACTTCCCCCCTCCACCACACACTCACACACACACACACACACTCACACACACACACTCACACACTCACACACACACACTCACACACACACAGACACACACTCACACACTCACACAGACACACACACACAGACACACACACACACACACACAGACACACAGACACACACTCACACACAGGCACACACACTCACACACTCACACACAGACACACACACTCACACACACACACTCACACACTCACACACACTCACACTCACACACACACACAGACACACACTCACACACTCACACACAGACACACACACACAGACACATACACACACACTCACACACAGACACACACACTCACACAGAGACACACACACCCACACACACACACACAGACACACACACCCACACACTCACACACACAGACACATTCACACACACACACACTCACACACTCACACAACAGACACACACAGACACACACACAGACACACACACACACTCACACAGACACACACTCACACACACACTCACACAGACACATACACACAGACACATACACACACACTCACACAGACAGACACACACACACAGACACATACACACACACACAGACACACACTCACACAGACACACACACACAGACACACACTCACACACACACAGACACACAGAGACAGACACACACTCACACAGACACACACACACAGACACACACTCACACACACACAGACACACAGAGA